CCCCCCCCCCCCCCCCCCCCCGAAAAAAAAACTGTATCATACAATTTCTTTTTTCCTAACTGAGATCAGAACTACATTATACTAAACTTTTGAAAGAGAAATACTTCCTCTTATTTTATGGCTTAACTGATCTGCGATGACAAGGAGATTCTGATTGGTCCCTTTAGCGGTTCAAATTTTGCAACATGGACCGCAAAGATAGACCGGCTCACGAATTCATTTCAGTGAATTGCTTTTGCAATTCTTTGCACAAAATTAAGAAGTTTTTCGGTAAGTATAAATCTTTTTACCTTCATGTTTGGAAGACAATTTCAGTTTAATTTTCACAAAGTGACACAAGAAAAGTAAATAAGTGCTTATTTTTCGCCAAGAATGGATCATGGAGACACATCAATTTATCAGAAGATTACAAAGCGCTATAACAATAAACACTTTCTTGAGCTAGCTTGCTCAGTCTGCATTGGAAAATATTGATCTTGCTCTTTCTTTTGCGCATTTAAGGACCTCGTCTGTGACCGAGTCCATAAACCTGTGACCAATATTTTTCCAATATGGACCTCAGGCTAGTTCAGTAACATTGTTTGTTTTAGCAGTTTACTTATAAAAATCGACGCACTGCAATTTCTGTAAGAACAAACTTTGCCCTCCCTACCCCCCTCCCCTGAAGTATGATCTAATTAAGGGGCTACTTNGCTTGCTCAGTCTGCATTGGAAAATATTGATCTTGCTCTTTCTTTTGCGCATTTAAGGACCTCGTCTGTGGCCGAGCCCATAAACCTGTAACCAATATTTTTCCAATACGGACCTCAGGCTAGTTCAGTAACATTGTATGTTTTTTAGTTATTTCCCGAGCAGTTTACTTACAAAAATCGACGCACTGCAATTTCTGTAAGAACAAACTTTACCTTCCCTACCCCCCTCCCCTGAAGTATGATCTAATTAAGGGGCTACTTTCGGACGATGGTCTAAAATTATGTTCTCGATTAAAAAGGATACAAGTGCTGCTACATGCACACAGACCATGAAGCAAACTCCATAAACGACAAGGGTTGGGTACTGCTCTTCCATGTTACTACAGCTTATGTGAGCCTTCAAATATGAGCAAATGCTGAGCTTATTTCGTTGCCGACACATACATTTCGAGTAAAGTTTTCGGATTCAGTTTCCGATCACAAAAAAAGTAAACTTACTTTCAAGGAGGAAGAGGGTGTGCAGGTTTGATCTTTTCTGCATAAAGCTCGTGGATACTGAAGGAAATTTACTTCGCTGGGTAAATATAGACGAAATCTTTTGCAAGCTACCTTTACAAGCGAGGAGACGACTGTTTTGGTGAAGCTGGTGTGAAGACTGGGAACAAACTCTGGACAATATTAGAAGCAATTTCATTGGCTAGCTTCGCAAACGTCACATACCGGAAATGTGAAGATATTTCACTGAAGTTCATTGGTTGAATTGAATCACCTATTATTTTGAGAAACGCGCAGAAAGCTTCCTTCTGATTGGCTGGTAAATTAGTAACCGTTCACAACCCCCGCTCAAGCCGTAAAGCGCATGACGAATGGCTCGCGTTAGCGCCTGGGAGAGGAGGGATCTGTGTAAAATTTGACCGACTCGTTGCGATTTTCGAGACATTTCTTCTCTCATTTTGTGTTATATGGAGTGCACACACGTAGGGCAAGCCGTGAAAGTCAGTTCACAGCTTATTCAGAAGATACGCCGCGAAAAAGCGGCGCAGTGGACTTGCTCAAGTAGGTTTTAAGTCGAGAGGGCGAAAAGCTACCCTCATCTCAATTTTGGTCTTTTAGTTTCACCTTTACCGGTACTTTTAACATTCCAGAAATCCTGACTGAATTTCTCTACCTTAGCTTGTAGATCAACAAAGAGCCCATGGATTTGTCTACGATGTGGATCCATCAACTGCGGAAGGTATACTGCCAAATGAGTACCATATTTTTTGAATTGTTGTTCTGGGGGGTGTCGAGACGTAGGAATGCCGCGTTGTTTGAGCCCTTCCGCAAATCGTGCTTTTAATTATTCACTTCTGGAGTGTCGTTTAATTAATCCGGCGGTCGTTTCATGCCAGGTATGTGAATGGTCATGCCAAAGCTCACTACGAGGACAATCAACAACATTCTGTCTGTCTGGATGCAAGTTTGACGGCTTTTTGGTGAGTAATAAGTTCACATACTGTGAACGAAAGTTCGTGATGTCATTATATGAACGCGCTTCCGTTCGATACTGAATAGCAACGTGTTTTCATTTTTGCTGTCATTAATTCCCTTAATTTTCCACAGCTACGCTTGTGATGAATTTGTTATAAATGACACAAAATCCGGAGATATACAGAGGGTTCGAGAAATCATGTTGGAAAGAGAAAATAGGTGAGGACTTCGATATAAGCTTGAATACTCGCCGGTTGATTCGAATTAAAGTCTTCGTTTCGCAGATTTACCATGACATGATTATTGTTTGTACAAAAATGTATTCTTTTTCATCTACCGACTACAGTTATGGGTTCTAATTGCTTTGTTTGGATTATAAACTACATCAATTTTTTCTAAATAAATGAGTTACTTATTTCACACCGGCCGCCATGTTGTTTATCAAGACCATGAATCACCGAGTCGGACGTGTTGGATGTGACGTAATGTTATGATCGGTTGTTCCCTGGAACGTTGAAAAGTATTATTTTCCTTTTCTGCTCTGTGCTAATTGATTTTGAAAGTGGATATAGTCAGAAACCCCACATAATGTGATTTCAGTTGTAAGAGCACCCTTGAATTTTTATGTTGAATAGATTCTACTTTAACCTTTAACCTTATGATGAAGGGCTTCCAATTCAGTGACTCTTATGTAGCTGATGGGTTGTCAGGAGATTTTAAGGGATATAATTTACAGAGAGCTTTTCTTTTAACAAGGAAACGTCATTTACAAGATTCTTCATCTCCTGAAAGGCAAAAGAAAGCTTCAAAAGCAAATGTAAGTTGAATGAAGTGTTATGATGTAAAAATTCTTAATTTGGAATAATTGCAGAATGTATTAAATTTAAGATACTTCACTGAGTAATAAAATTTAAAAGGAAGAAAACTAGTTGGGAGTAATGCTGTGATATTTTAAGCTTTCCCTGTGTTGGTCTTACGACAAATTTAATTTGTGAATCAAGGGTTGAGGCTTGGTACTCAAAGAGAAAAAAAGCACTGAGTTGAAAATAAAGCTCTTCTTTAGTACCCAATCCTCTCCACCTCTGAAAAGCACACTGGTATGATAAATATCAAACTGGCAGAATTTATGCTACTTTTTCAACCTCTCAAAATACTTCATCAAACATCAAAAATAGCTCTCCAGATAGAAAAAGTAGAATGAAGGAAAAACTACCCCCTAGTTGGTCATCAGACAGATATTTAGCATAATTATAACCTAAAGCAGGCCATTTACCTGATTTTAAATATATATGGGTTATCGACCAAGTGTGGGATATTGGCCAAGTACCATTTTCTGCAATGTTTATGGACCAAGATGCAGTCGAGGTCCATGAACATGCAAAAAAAAGAACGAGGCCGATATTCAGTCATCTGGACTGAACAAGCTTGGCTAGTAAAGGATTTATGTGGGATAAAGAACAAATTTTTCCTGCATGACACAGTGTTTAATCCTGAGCAGGCAAGATAGCGCCATCTTGCCTGCTTGGGTAGCCAATCACATTGGAGGATTTTTTCATCTTGCCTGCTCAGTAAGCTAGCCATATAACAAATTATCTTTTCAAACTTTTCAATCATGCAATGAACCAAGGAACAGAAAAATCTGTTTCATTGCAGGATGTTGCAAAATTACTGCACTGTATAATAAACTGTTTAAGCTTAGCACCCCATTGGTGCCTTTCTCAGAAACCTTGGTTGCTAAGAATGGAGAAGTTGTAAAAGAAAAATTGATACCACACAACTGTACCTCTTCTTACATCAAACCCCACCCATTGGTAAAAACAATGGTCCTTTGGGCGAGGTTGCTATGATTAACCCTTGGATGTACAAGGGTGCCAAACCCCTCCCCTCCCC